TAAATACCTATATACAGGTGTTTTCTGCTCTGGTTTGGGGGTTTAGTTACTCTTTAATGGTCATACGCATCCGGTACGCCTTTGAAAACAATAAAGGTGGTGCCTATGACTCGAGTTGAGGAAAGACCCACCTGTACTCTCCAAAGGTCTCGTCTTTCATTGGCCGAGCTTCAGAGTCCACCTCCTTGTCTTCTTTGTCCTTCACTGTAGGAAAGAAAAGGTCAAAATCTTTATGTACCGGTGCTGTAATGTAAAGATACTGCAACAGAAATATGTGAGGATTCAAATCAGTGACGTTAAAAATGAATCGTGATGCCTAATAAAGAAATTTAAAAAATGATATATATGATAATATGGTAAAGAGAAAATCACGAGTCATGAGTTGAGTGTTACATCCGTAGCAAGTGTGTGTGTTCAGTTGTGTATGTGAGTGTATTGTCTGTCTCACCTGCGTATTTGCCGCCCTTGCTGCGTTTGATAAGGCAGAGGATGAGCAGTATCAGCACCAGCAGCACGATGGCGCTGATGAGTCCTATCAGCCAACCTTGGGTGGCAAACCCACTGGACATGGCCGTTGGCACTGAGAGACAGGGAGAGAGAGAGAGAGAGAGCATCAGCAATCCATTCTGGCAAATAAAAAGTAAAAAAAGAAGAACAAATATTCTGAATTAGCTATTAGACAGTACAGACAGCTGTCACTGGATTACTTTGATACTGAAGTTTCAGTAGTACTTATTATCAGTACTTTCACTTCAACCAGAGTCTTATCTGTACTTCTGCTTGAGTAAAGAATGTGTATACTTTTACCCACCTCTAGTTTTATTAATGTACGGGCCCTTGGTTAGAGTTTACAGTAAAAAGAACATCACATACCGGGTCCTGTAGTCTGTGCCATTGCCTCCCAGTAGGTTGAGTTTCCTTGATTTATCTTAAGGTGGTAATAAGTTCCTGGTTGGAGGCCTGTCAGCGAATAGAAACCCTGCGTGGAGTTCACCACCTCTGACATCTCCCATTGACCCCCGGCTGCAGCAAACACACACACACACACACACAAGAATATCGTAGATTAGGTAAGGTTGAGTAAGGTTGTTGTTGATGAACGTTTCATCTCTTTCTTTCTATCAAACAACTTTTTTATGTATGTCTTTTAATATATCTGGTTCACGCTAATCTTGTGTTATAGCAGTAGTGACTTCAACAAACATCAAAGGAGCCTATAAGCACATTTAATAATTAATAACGGAATCCTCTTCTCACTCCATTTCCCCTCCATTTTTCTCTTAGAGTCATTATCTTTCTTACGGATCTTCCTGAGGTAGAGGATGTGGAAGGCGTGGTTCCTGTCTCGCTCTCCGGGCACCCAGCTCAGGTTGAGTGCTGTGTTACTGGAATTTATGGTGATGTTGGATGGAGGAACTGGAAGGAGAACGAGAGGATTAATACAAGTTAAGAATTAACAAAAGGAGAGAAATAACAAGAGGGTGAACTTGTGATTTCACCTCCATCGAGCAAGGTGGCGCTCTTCTCAGTGATGGGAAGTCCATCTCCAGCGGCGGTGCGTGCAATCACACTGAAGATGTAGTAGGTGCTGGGGTCCAGACCATCCAACTCTATGTGAGTCACACTGGGATCACTGATGAGCTCCATCTGCAACACGCTGCCCGTCACATCTGCAGATCAAACACAAACCAGGGAGTTGTCAGCAGTGGTGCAACGCAACACATTTGATGCAGTCTTTGTGGTAAGGCAACAAAAACACAATGGTCTCCTCTCCTTTTTACCCTGTGTGTAATTATGTAATTGAATCTCCTGCCTGTAGAAGACCTTACCCTGTTGATACTGCACCACATATCCAGTCAGTATGCCGTTGGGTTCAAGTGGAGGGGTCCAGTAGAGATTCAGTGATTTCTCTGATGGGCTCTCGAACGTCAGCGATGCCGGCTTACCAGGCACTAAAGCAGACACACGGTTAAAGCACACGCCAGTTGGCATGTCTATTAAATACATGTGTCTCTTATTGTAACTTCTTATCCAAACTCACCTCCCTCTGGGGTTATGAAGTGGTGCGGGGGGGAGTGGGGTCCCTCGCCTTTGCTGTTGAAGGCAGTGATAGACACCGTATATCGGGAATACAGCTGCAGCCCTGTCACATCCTCTGAGGTCTTCGTGCTGGAGACCACCACCACCCTTCTCTCCCCGTCATCCTTCCCCCGCTCCAACCTCTCCTCCTTGTGGTGCCGTTTTCCGAGCGACCTCCGGCCCCGCACCTCCCGGGGACCCAACCTCTTGATGTAGAGCTGACATAGAGGCGAGAACGATAGATGTGTTATTGTTGCCTGGAATGCTTTCTTTACAACTACAGCAACAATTGTAAAAAGAAATCAATTGTTTAATCTATTAACATTCTCTGGTTCCAGCTTCTTAAATACAAGGATTTGCTGTTTTTCTTATGTTTTATACGATTGTAGACTGAATATCTTATATTGTACAAAATTTAAAGACATCACATTGAACTCTGGGAACTTGTGACAGGCATTTTTCACAATTTAGACTAAATGATTAATTATAAAGTTAACCTGTAGACAAATAATTGATACTGATTATTAACTGGAAGCAGTGTTTATTGAAATGTAAGAATCTGAAGCCTTTACATATTATTTTTTATGTATTAATAACTTTTTATTGCCAATGTGTGAACAGGTTGTAATGTAACTTAGAAAATGAGATCTTCCCCAGACTTTCTCTGTTGCCTGTGGACTGATTTATGTGTTTCTATGACCTGAGCCAACAGAGAGCACAGCCATCTTTTCTTGCTCAGGAATACAGAGGAACTGGTACCTTGTATCCCTTGAGCAGACCTCGCACGTTCTTGGCCTTGTTCCACTTGACTCTGACTGTGCTGTTCATCACGACTGTTGCAACTTCAGTGGGCGCTTCCTCAGGCTCTGAGAGAGAGAGAGAGAGAGAGAGAAAGAGAGAGAGAGAGAGCGAGAGTAATTAGGATGAGCTTTCTGGTATAAAAACAAGCAAGTATTCAACAAAACTGCACAATAATTTAAACTAAGGAACAAACTATGGAGCTTTTTTCTTTATGTATGAGTTCATATTGTGTATTTGCCACCCAATAGCACCTACATATATTGACATATAGCTTCACATAACTAATTAAAACCAAAATTATCAGGAAAAAGAAATACTTAAAATGACAAAAACAATCTTTAGATTTTTTTGTTTGGACCATCTGCTAACATGGAGGCAGGAAGTCCTATACTGTAGTCAGCCACCAGGGGGCGATCAAGATGTTTTGGCTTCTCTTTTTGAGAGCTGTCATGACGTCCATCAGACACATCTAGCGAGCAACAACTATTAACGTATACAGAGAGCAGATCGCGGGGCGCCTCGTCAGCCAGTGTCCAATCATGATACAACAACACAGCAAACAAGATCAATTATTACTCTTATCATTGTTATTTTACAACCATGAAGGTTTATGAAAACTCTATGTGCATGACATCAACTCTATGGCAGGGCCACCACAACACTAATGCATGAAGAGGTAAACCAGACAGACAGAAGCCTTTTTATCTAATATCTGTTCTGGTCTGGTATCCACTACTTATTATACGTCCATGGCAACAACCAGTCTCATGACCTCGTCAAGCTACTGTATCTAACTCGAGTAAAGGCTATATGTCAGCCAGCCTCTTGGTGCTGAATGAACCAGCCTGTCAGCCAAACTGAGACCAAGTTTCACTATCAGAATTCAATCTGTTCGGTCCAATAGTGCGATTAAATTATTTTATTTCCATAAAACAACAACCGGGCAATCATATATTATCACTAACAAATGGTAAAGTAGTGCAGCCTGCCTTTTGCTTGATTTGATTGGAAAAGGTGAAAATATTATAACTATTATGTTTATATTTCTAGCTGGGCGTCTCTGTGTGATCAGCCCCTTCGATTCATCCGAGTAATTTCTTTACAGCGGCTTCAAGCCAACGCTGTATCCAGCTTTATACATCGGTGACTAAGACTGATAAGCCCAACGCAAAGCTGGCCTGCAGTTACATTACAGCTGTCTGTCCATCAATGACAGCATTTATCACACTGCCTGTGACAAGCTGCACAGCACATCGCCTGTTTTCCACCAATAAACAAGATCACAACACTACTTTCAGTCCAGAGAGAGACATTGGATTTGACATTTTTACAGAACAAGGCTCGATGTGATGCTCTCCGAAGCTATTTTATAGACAGACGATGTCATTCTTTTTATATCCAGACTTCTTTGTATAAGAAGAGAATTTTGACCTCTTTTTATGGCGGATGGTATAATTCAAAAACAAGAATACCATTTTCTTTTGCATCGGACTCATTTTCTATCATGGACTCAAAGATGACATTCAGGCATACAATTTCATTTGAATTATAGAGTCTGCTTGACACCACGAGGCGTTTGAATTCCTCCACTATCTGGATAGTTGTTTTTTATTTTTGTTGTTTCTATGTATTTTTCTTTTTTATTTCATTATTTTCTCTTTTTTTAATTTCTTTTACATTTTATTTGCTATTATTTTATTTATTTATTTTTTAATTTACATTTCCACTGCATATTGTTTTGTGGTATTTTCTAAAATATTTTAATGACGTTTGCAACTATATTAATGTTATTATAATGCTATTTTACACAAACTCATATTTTAGAGGGTTGATTGTTCCATTTTGACCACAAACAATTGATTATATTTTTTCAGTATCTCTGGCTCTGTCACTGGAGTGAATGATGTGATGTTCAGGTGACGTACTGTCTTCTCCGGAGTATCCGGTCTCAGTATTCGGTGCCGGTCCTTCTCCAAGAGTGTTAACGGCCTGCACTCTGATCACGAATGGTTCGTACGTTCCTGTGTTGTTTACAAAGAACGGTGGAGACTTTACAGTCTCAGAGTTCCAGTTTGTACCATCCCCAACCTTCTGCCATGACACTTTGTACCTGAAGCCCTGACCGTTATGCGAGCGCTTGTCCATCTCCTGCAAAGACAGGAATATAAAAGAGATTTGAATTAAATTTGGCATGCATGCATCAGAGAATTTTGACACACAGATGCACACAGATTGAAGTACTCACATCCCATGTAATGACCAGAGTGTCTGGGTCTATGGACTCACTCCGCACACGAGTGGGGTTACTGTAAGGAACTGGAGGACGGAGACGGACACAAAGGTAGAAAACATTTCAAAGACAAAGTTTGACAAGTATATTTATTTGCTGAGAGATAGATGAGACGGTTAGAGAAGGAGCCAGCAGGTTGTTAGCTTAATCTAGCATAAAGACTGTTCAGCCTGGCTCTAGTAGGTGTTACGTGTGGGGATCAAACTTCTGCTTGAATGAAAATCTATCTCTAAATATTTAGCATCTGTTGTCACTTACCAGCTGGAGGCGTGATGTGTTCTTCTGAGGGCTGGCTGGGGTTGCTTTTGCCGATTAGGTTGACGGCGATGACCCGGAAGCGGTATCTGTAGTAAGGGTTGAGTTCCATCTTCAGGTGGTTGACCAACCCGGACACTTTGCTCCACTCCACCCACTCCTCATTGGTTTCCTCTGACTGATGCTCAATGTGGGCCTCTACGATGAACTCTGAGAGTAGACAAACACTATGACGTTAATACTACTTCCTGTCAAACGCTAGGACCATGTAGCACCATGAGATCAGCCAGGCACTGTGCAGAACTGTTCCAGTTACATTTGTGTCCAACTTCAGACCGACGTGCTCTGACTATATGCCAATGTGGTCTGCAAACTACAGGCAGGCTAAAGATGATGTGCCAGGATGTAAACATTTCTGTGACTTCCTGTTTATTCTGTGAAGGCTGCTGGAAACCGTCCGACTGACTGCAGCCTTCTGTTGTTGCCTCCTGCTGCTGCCGCCTGATCTTGTCCACTTTTCAGGCGAGGCGCAGTTAATCTCGAATGATCATAAGTGTCTGCCTGTCTTTAAGGTATTCAGTGTTTTCCCACCTGCTGTGTGCCAGTTTTCTCAGCTCTTTGTGTCTCAGTACCTTTGTGTCTTATCTCCATAGTGTTTATCCTTCTGGTTTACTGGATTACTGCCTGTTACTGCCTTTTCCCATCAGATTTGTCTGCCCGTTCTAAATGCCTACCTGTGTACCCAACTGATTTTGGCAAATTACAGACTGTGTATTTTTTGTACCAAGGTCCTGTATCCAGAAAGACGGACATCTTGCCCTCTCTCTCTCTCTCTGTCTTCCCTCTTTCTGTTTAAATTCTGGAAATAGTAAACACTTAAAGGTAGATTATTTATGATTTACTTGATAGGGCAGGTGAAGATGAACAGTAAAGGGGGAAAATAGAGGGCAGCAGGTTGATATCGAACCCAGGGCGCTGCTGTAAGGACTCCTATATGAAGGGCACGCTCAACCAGGTGACCTATCGTGCGTCCTATGTTGAAAAGTCTTAAGCTTAGCTGGAGCTTTAAATACGTTCCAGACATGTAGATGAAGAGGAATAAGTGTGTGGGTGTGTGTGTGTGTGTGTGTTCAGTACCTTCGATGGGGCTGTTGTGTGAGTGTCCTGGGACCCAGGTGAGAGTGAGGCTGTAGTCTTCAACATCAGAAAAAGTCAGATCTTTGGGAGGGTCCGGCCGTGCTGAGGGTCCAACAGAAAACTGTTAGTGATAAAACTAAAACACACACACACACACACATGTATTTCTCAGCGTCTAACACACACACACACACACACACACACACTGTGACATACCTAGGACAGTGATGGAGTCAGACTTAACCACGTTGTCCAGCTCAGTGATGACCTGACAGGAATAAGTCGCGCTGTCTCTTGAGTGAACGTCTGTCACTTTCAAGGTGCCGTTCTCAAAGAAAGTGTACCTACACACACACAATGATGGATGAATGAAGGTTTATAATGGCAGCGCAGTGACAGCTGTGTCGGCTAGTGCAGGATGAAGAAATATTCATCTTATGCTCGATGTACAGAGAACTGTTTGAGCTTTAGGTTTAGCTGTGGACTGAAACATGTCAGCGTGTCTGTTTACTTGTCATCTGGTGACGACTCCTGCAGTTTCTGTCCATCTTTCCTCCAGATGATCTGGGGCTCCGGCAGCCGAGGGTCTTTGGAGAAGCGACAGTCCAGCAGAGCGCTGTGTCCTGTGGCCACATGCAAGTGCTGGGGGCTCGTCACTATCAGCGTTCGATCTGACAGGAAAATACAGCACAGGTCACTGTGTGAAGGTGTGACGGCATCTTTATTTCCACTGATCTCATATTGTCCATTCAGGTATCTATCTCATGTTAGACTTTATAGTGGAAATAAATAATAATAAGTGTAAAAAATAGTCCAGTATGTTAATCTTACTGTATTTTTTAGCTAGAGGTGAAAAGTAGCTTCACATCACACTGTTTCCTTTCTGCCATTCTCACACAAGCTGAAAGTTTTAAATAGTGACACCATAACATCTTTTAACTTAAGTAGAGTATCGATGTATCAGTCCGTCCATTCCTAATGTTTACATGGACATTTTCTCTGCCACACGAGGACTTTTTATTTTATTTTATTAGCATATCAGGGAATCTGTTCAGCTTCTTCCTTCGGGCAGTGAGGCTGTTAAATTCATTTTGACAATTAATAAACAACAACAAACTAATATAAATCCTTGAATATTAACAACTCCAGTTAGTCAGAGCTGATATTTGTGGCGAGGGTGTGAGACTCACTGTAGACCTCCAGGTAAGCAGTGATGGAGATATTGGTGTGTTTGATCGAGCAGGTGTACTCCCCGCTGTCACTGTGACTGACGTCGGTCAGCTTGATCGTCCCATTGGTCAGCAGGGAGACGCGGGTCTCCGACAGCAGAGAAAGCTTGTCCTCGCCCTCCCTGCAGAGAACACACACACACATATTGATCGTGACACGTGTTCATCAGAGAGTCTTTCAGGGTTTATTCCGACGTTAGATGCTCCGAATGAACCACAGCAGTAAATCCCACTAACTCGATAAATGGGAGTGTGTTTCCTGGCTCATCAGTCAATGGATGATAGACGGAAGAACATCAATAAATGATGGACCAGAGAAAGAGAAGCAATAACAGTTTGAACACTGTGAGCATGATGTTTAAAGCCCATAAAACCTCTCATCTTAGACACTGCAAAGAAACCTGTAACTGTCCATCATACTATCTTTTTATGCCGTGGGTTAAATGTTGCTGCAAAGTCTTCTCTACACTGCCGATAAGTAAAGACTTACTGTCATTTTATTCTTTTTGGCTTAAGACAGTCAAATTACAAGATATTTAGTTTAAGATAAGGGTTCCAACCTTGGGGTCACCAGAGCTTCACAAGGCCTTCTTCATTGTAAGGGATGTAAGAAAACTCCAATAAACCTATACAGGAGAGCTATATCTAAGAATTCTATTCATTTCTGGGCATGCAACTAAATAAAACTGATATTTATTATTAGATTAGATTATAAGATTTATTAGATTATAATTAAATAATGTAATAATCCGGGTTAAATAAAAAGATTATAAGTAAAAAATATCTCATAGGATAAGGGAACGGTGAAGACTTGAACACACACTATATTCACAGAGCCTTCACTCTCTGATGAACAGCCTCAGAGACCAAACAACCAAAGAGCTAAAAGAAAGGAGGAAACACTGAATTTGTCAAAAAGAAGCCTATTAAGTACATATGATTGTTAAATATACACATAATACACAAACTCTATATTCACAGGAAATAATCTTCTTAAAATTCATCTAAATCTCTTAATTTTCCACAAACGTCCTGCAGGTACTAAGTTCACTGTTTGGGTTCATTGTTCAGTTTACCAGATGTTTTCTAGTGTTATTGTTTTGCATTGTCACTTTAGTCAATGATAGAAAAGTTCCTTAAGGAGGTTGGGAACAGCAGGTCTAACAAATATCAAATATCAATTTTTAATATGTGTGTCAAAATATAATCTCCTTTTTATCTCATTAAACCCCAAATTCCCAAACATATTACAGCGGAGGAGACCTTACTGTGTGCTTACAGTACTGATCTGTCCTTTCATGTCTGAGGAGTTTGAGGTCCGGTGTGAGATAGACTGCTTTTTGTTTATGCAACCACCTGGGGGCGCTGCTCCTCTGAAAGTAAAAACCTGGGCCTGTATCACAGAAACTGATCATAGGGACTGTTTCAAAGAATATTTTAGAATTTGAAATATGATTTAGTGATTTAACATCCTTTTTGATAAGCCTTAATTTTACTCTATCTTGAGTAAATATGTGTGTACACAGATTTCTACTCCCTGGTCATCCTAATTGAAGATGTAAACCTTTAAAAGCGCCTAACAAAACTCAAACAGCAAGAAAGAGTGCATTTGTTTGGTACTATTTTGATATAAAGTACCTGCAGTCACAAAGGTTGTAGCTTCTGGAATAAGAATTAGTGTACAGCAGGAGTTTGAATCGTGTGTGTGTGTGTGTGTGTGTGTGTTTCTCACCATGTGACGTGGGGTCGTGGGGAGCCAAAGGATTCACAGTCCAGACTGACGGTTCCGCCCTCAGTGACTTTGGCCACCACTCCATCAGAGGACAGGATCTGAGGGGGGAGCTCTGAGAGACACAGAGGACGGAGGTGAACGTCGTTACTAAGCGGACACACACTGAAGGCTCTGTGCAGACGCGCTGTGGCGGGAACGTACCGATGACGTAGAGGTAGGTGTTCAGCAGGATGGAGCCGTGCTTGTTGATGGCCTCGCACTGATACACGGCCGTGTCAGCGAATTCAACGTCCCTCAGTATAAACACACCGCCGAACACGCTCCGACGGGGGTCATCATCCACCTCTATGCGGGGGGGGGGGTTAGAGACAGGAGTCAGACAACAGTGTGAGTTTGTCAAACAGAAACTCTGAACACAAAGAAATGTTTAACCAAGAAGCTGCAGCTGTTACACTCTCTGACCCCCCTCACTGTTTTCTTTCTTTCTTTCTTTCTTTCTTTCTCCTTGTTTTGCACAATGTTCTAGGTTAATATCCTTCTTTGGAACAGTTGCCGTCTTCTGGAGAACGTTTCACTGAACAGATGTTTTTGGTTTTTTTTACAGAAAAAAAAAGGAAAAAAATTAATTGTTTATTAGTTTTCGAGACTCTAGTTAGAGCACAAGTATCTTATAAAGGAATATTTATATCTCTAAAGATGTGTTGCTTTAACTGAATTGAGCTTATTTAGTTTTGATTATTGTTATTATTTGTACTGTACTGTCTTTGTTGCAAATTATTTTCATATTCTCTGAATAAATCATTGTTTAAAAACTCTCTGGGAGTCAGTTGAGGATCCATCTCAACTAAAGTATCCTGTCTAATTCATCTGAGCTTAAGAGGCTGTCTGTAACATTGGGCTGAGTGGAGCCAGGAAACGATCACTCTTCCCTGAAATCGCTCTGTGGTCATCAGGCATCGTGTAATGTAAAGACACAAACTTAAAGTTCAGCTCTTCAGGACAAATAGTAACTGGCTTCAGTTATTAAGCCATAGTTCTGGTCTTCATTATACAATTTAACTCATCAAGTCCTTAATTTCTATCCACAGTGTGGACTGTACTTGTATAGAGCCTTTCTAGTCTTTAGACTTTTACACTACAGCCACATTCACCCAACATAAACTAATTCATTCACACACAGATGCACAGCAGCGGGATTTTGCTCAAGGACACTTCGGCGTGGAGCAGGAGGAGCCGGGGATCGAATAAACAAAATTCATTAAGATACGAAAACATAAAAAAGCAGCCGTACCTGCGACCGGCTGACCGTTGATGCTCCAGGCGACAGTGGGGGTCGGGATGCCTTCAGCCTGACAGTCCAGTCGCACAGTCTCCCCGGGAGCGTACAGCAGGTTCTGAGGCTCCTTCACCCAGTAGGGAGACGCTACAAACAAAAAACAGCAAATTTACAGCAGCAACTATGAAACCCTGGGGTTATAAAATCCCATTATCCTCCAGTACTTTCAATCAGTCACTTCTTAAAACGTACTTTTATCTGAGAGCCATTCCTGATTTTACTTCTTGAATTGTCCTTTTTTTTTCTTAATTGTGTTTATTGTTTTGATCAGTTTTCTTGTTTTATCTGGTTGAAATTTTATTTTAAAACCTGAAGATTTTATGAGCTGTATTTTACTTTTTGTGACACACTTTGTAACATGGATTTTGTTTGCTTTTAAATACATGAAAATCTCATTTAATCATGATTTAAAATCTTATTCCACTGGCTGCACCCCCTTCTTTAAAAAGCTTACGAGAAAATAACCCTGATTATGTCATCGGGGTCGTTTGGAGGCCACAAATTTATGACATAAAAAGCCTGTTTTATGAACTGGGGCCTTGGAGTTTGGGAATTGAACAGGCATGGAGGGTCTAAAATGCTAGTGAGTTGTATTATGGGAATTGTAGGTTTCAGTGTTTTTGGCAACCAGTCATTTCTTGACTTAAATTCACGTGCTGTAGCCTACAAATAAAATTGACTTGACTCTTCGTCCTCAATTTTGACCATTTGTTAAAAACTCCCCCAACTGAACAAATAGCCAACGCTAAATGACTGAGTGTCCCTTTAAAGTTGGTGTTTTTATTCAGTCAAAAGTTTACCGGCTTTCATTTATAGTTGTTAGTAAGGTGAGTTTTTCCATCCTCTGCATCCTCTGTGTGCAGCCTACCTTCCACAGTGACGCTGAAGGAGCTGGAGATGGACCCTTGGCTGTTGGAGGCGATGCACTCGTACTCCCCGTCATCTTCCTGGGTGATGTTGTCGAACTGAAGCCAGCGGTTGTGTCTTTCCAGCTTGCTGCTCGTTTCATCCAGGCGACCATCCTTCTTTCTCCATTCCACCCTCGGAGTGGGTCTGCGGACACAGAGGCAGGGATCACAATCAGAGAGACAGATAGAAAGATAGAAAGATAGAAAGATGAGACTTGAAAGACAGAATTGATCTCGGAGGGAAGGGCGAACGATGGAGATGGATCGATAGAGAGACACACGGAGATAATTAGAGTTGAATAAACGCAGGTGATTGTGTTAATGACGTAATATCCTATTTGATCATTAAGGCGAAATCATAATGACACTCCATTTATCGCCATGGAGACGGAAGTCTCAGGGGAAGGAGGATAATTAGAGCCAACACAAAATAGAGACGACACAGAGGAGAAATAAAATTATTTAATAAAAAGGATTAGTGTCAAACCAGTGTGTGTGTGTGTGTTGTGTCAGATATGCACATTGAACATCTTCAAATTAAATACCAAACTGCTTCAAACTGCTCAATAATTCATATTCAGTTAAGTGAACGCATTTCATGTAAGACACATGTAGCATGTAGCGTTCACTTGTTTTAACTTTAACACGACTTTAACTGATGCTAGTGCCACATGGACGAACCTAGCATATAGCATATCTAAGGAAGTTTGACCGGAGGCTTGCGCGTTCAAGCTGTATTGGGAGCACAGAGGCCCCAAAATCAGGCGCGGGACTTAGGACAAGGGTCAATTACGGCCGGACAAGAGAAGCTTTGCCAGGTTTGTTGTTGGTAAAAAGGATCGCTGGTGTGTGTTTATCCTGCGCAATCTTGCCCTTGCTGATGTCAAACATTGATACTTTTGGGGCAATTAAGACGCTTAACAACACTATCTGTCTCGGCTCTGATTGGTTGTTTGTGTTCAGACACAATGGACCATTAGGAGCACTAGGAGGAGCCAGAGGAACCTGATTTTTTCAATTTTTTTCTGTTTCATGCTCTACTGGCAGGATGTAGTGACAGTTTCAGCAAACATGACAAAAGGTTATTTTAATAAAAGTTACCTACTGCAGCTTTAACCTCACACCATCTGCCTCTGGCTGCAGATCAGTAGCACTGTGTACATTCCAAGCCATTCCTTTATTTGTTGAGCTGTTGTTGCTGTCATGCCCAAATGTGATTGGCGAAGGTTTTTCAGAGTGATCAGACCAGTGATGCGATTGGCTGAGAATGCATTTATTAATCAGCACGCAGCTCTTTTACACGTTGCTGCACATCCATGAACCAAAATAGCAGGTGGAGCCCGAGCACCCAAGACCTAGCGCTTTACACTTGTTGTGCTTGTGTGATTCAAATATGGCCCTGTATCTGTTTTTAAAAATATACCAACTTTTCTAATAGTTACACACATTTGTATTGTTACATTACTGAAAGGGGAGTGTATTGAAGTGAATATTCTGTACTGAAGTTATATCTTTCGTGACCTCAACTGGTCGCATGCTGCTGCTGGATGAAGGAGATTGTGTAAAGGTGAAAAGAGTGCAGATAGAAAGACACAGTGTGTGACACAACCTGCAGGCAGCACACACACTTTTATACACACACAAACACACAAACAGTGAGAACCTTACAGGCCTCCGGGGATACATTCAAGGGTGACGCTGTGTCCCCTGAGGGCCAGCACAGGGCTGTGGGTGCTAGTAGGATGGAAGAAGTGGGGTCTTCTAACATGAGAGACATCATTACCTGGAGAGAGAGAGAGAGAGAGAGAGAGAGAGCATATGAAATCAATACACACTAAACTGTTAAACCGTTGATGTATTCATTATAAAAGTGATTTTATTTTACTGATTTTAGATCAAACTGAAGGATTAACACTGGAATAAATATGGGACTATCCAAGGTGGTTTGTATTTGTCAAAGATAAAGACAGTTTGCAGAAGATTACAGACTGGATATTTGACAGGTTTTATTTTTATATGATATAATATCAAGGGATATACAGGTCTGGATACAATTTGGCCAAAATAAACCATTAATTCACAGTAATAAAACTGGCTACAGTGGCTGCCATGTAAAGTTAGCTAAATGTGCTGTCAAAGTACGTCAACTAACAGTTTCAGATTGTTATTCTATTCTGACAACATTATGGAAAGGATCTCTACAGAGCCTTCTAATAACCAGAAACAGATATAATATTGCTCAGCACCAGAGTCCATGAACAACAAATGGTCATTTTCCCCTCAGTGTAACATAACTTGGAAGGCTCAGGACGCCATTACTTCACTATAGCTTTACATAGCAAATAGATGTTGTTGTTAGATTACTGTATATGTAGATATATTATTGTAATGTAAATCTCATATGTGTAAAACCTTTAAAGCAATTAACATCTTAATTTTGTGACTCTGTAACATATGAGCAGGGCCAGATCTCAACCCAGCTGGGAGAATCTGCTCTCCATCAACACTAAATGAGGGAATATCTGTAGGAAGAATGGTGTTCATCACTCCAATTGTTCCACAAAATTATGAGAAGAAGCACTGAAGCTGTTCTGTAGGCTTGTGGTGACTTTATTTTGGTTTTCTTAAAGGAACTTCACGCTAAACCTCACTCTTTCCTTTATCTGTGCGTTTGCACTCAGTGTGTGTGTGTGTGTACTCACTGGACGTGACAGTGAGGGTGACGGCGGTGTCTGGGAGAATAGTCCTGGCTGCTGCATACTGGGCGTTGCAGATGTAGTCGTTCCTGCTGTCTCCCAGTTTAAGATTGGAAAAGTACAAGTTCCCGTCCAGGCCGACCATCACTCTGTCACTCTGCATGATGTGCACCATCCCTGAGATGAACAAGAGCCAGGAGAGATAGTCATATAGTCTCCTCTTTTTCATATAATGTGTAGTGAGCGTGTGAATTTCCTAAACGTGCAGCAGTGAAACAAAATCTTTTGTTTTGTTTGTTTAAGTGGCTCCAAGTTGGAGTGCACTGCAGTATGGATTTTCTTGTGTGAGTTGAACAAAACTGACAGCTTGAAAGGCACTTTTTCATTAGACAGGCAGAGAGAGAGAGAGAGAGAGAGAGAGAGAGAGAAAGGGAGGACAAGAAAAGTAAAAAGAGCCCAAAAGCATGAGCTGATAGTGCTGCATTCATTAGCTTGAGTGGAAACGGTCTGCAATGCAGTGCAGCGATGCAAATCCCTCCGACGCGGCCCTCAGCTCCAAAATCCTTCAAAGCTGCTCAGATTTTACACAGTGACAGATTAGAAGTGAGAGGCAGGAAGACCGGACGACTAATAGAGACAATGGGTCTCTGTGTGTCAGCCCGAAATGCGCGTACCTGGTGAAGAGTAGACGCTACAAACACAGACAGCTACCAAACACGCACGCGCTTCTTTGTCCGCATCCGGCGCGCAGTGATGACGTTGAAGTTGGGAGCTTTTGGAGGTTAACGAAACATTGAGTGCTGTTGTGCTTCCACTGAGCTCGCCAGATTCGGTGTGTTTGTTGGTGTTTGTGAGAAACCTTGGTTGACTGAAAGCACACAAATCCGAGCAGACCTGGACCTTACAGAGTAGCGCGACTCAGTCGATCAAGATGGATCCAGACCTTTTAGTGACGACGCGCCGGGCTGCAGTGCCGGTGTGCGCCCCGTGCAGACAAAACAGTGCGTAATGCCCGCTGATCTTCGTTGCTGCCCTGCGTTCCCGACTTATTGGGGCTGTTAGAATGATGCAGGCAGGATGCTGGCAGGGAGGCTGCAGTGAGTCAGTGCTCCTTTCTTTGCTACACAGTTGTTCTTTTTTACCATGCAGCTTACTTTACAGTTTGTCTTTACAGAGTGGTTTCATACTGTACACTGTTTACAGTAACTGTTGCTGCAACGCTATTGATCAGAGGAAATGGGATAATGGATAATAATTGCAGAAGCCACTATTATTACAGTGTTATTAGTTATTACGAGCACTTGGGGTGGCAGAAGCTTTATTTTTTATTTATCCATTACTTTAAACTTTTTCAGCATTTATCAAACACTGAATTATCTTAACTGTTTGTGCAGGATTATTTATAATCGTAGGGGGAATTAAATGAGAGATGTATTACATTATGATTAATTTCCTGTCCTAGACTAGATATTTGATGAATAGCAGTTTTGTTTCCATCCTAACTCCAAAGAGCTCATCCTTATCTTTGACTGATGCTCAATTCTAGCATCTTTTTATGAAATAATTAGCTGTATATCGATTAAATGTTTGGGAATGAACCCTGAGAGGTGCCAACAGTGTTCATCCGACTTAGTTAGCTTAGCTTAACCACCTGACCCCCTATAACAGCAGAACTTGTTTTTACTCTTTGTCTGTTACAGATTAAACAAACATGATATGTTAATAATGAGCTTTAGAGGCGTTTGTACAGTTCAGTTCAACCTCCACCATATGTTAGCTGAGAGGTGAAATTCAGTGGAACCAGAAGAGACTCAGACAGGCAGTTTGTGTCAGCAGTACAGTGAGAGGACAGTTTGGAGTCTTTCAGAGTGAAACAGTGGAAGTTACACCCCTGCAGTCCGTTTATACCCTTCAGCTGGTAATACGTGACTTCCTTTTTATATCGATACTCTGACCGGTGTGTGTGTGTGTGTGTGTGTTTATCGGAGGCTGTCAGGTGAAACACCGACTTCCCGGCACTGCCTCATGCTTGGCAACCCCTGTGCGCTCTCCTGGCCGAGTTGACGTCACAGTCTCCAGGAAATGGTTGCCACGGTAACAAGAGATGAGAGAGCAGAACAGGTGGCCCCAGTCAACCTCACTCATGAGTCACTGAAGTGTTTATGTGTGTGTGTGTGTGTGGCAGAAGTACA